AGCGAAAAGTGAAAGAATTAATGTTCTGGTTAGGGGCATACCAATCACAGTTTTCTGGCCAATTACAGATCTTTAAAAAGTCTGACTTGCCAATTCCGATAGCGTATGCCCATTTTTTTTTTGTCTGAAATGTGGTCTAAATATAGCAAGAAAGTTGCTGAGTTGGCAACAGTGAGCTGACTACTATTAACTGCAAATGTGCAGACATGACCTGGTGAGCTGGTCTATCAGTCAAACCTCTCTCATGGCAGAGCAAAAGAGGACAGTATTTGATTTTTAGACCTTTGTATAAGATTAGCTTCACATGTATCGGCTGATAATTGATTTCACAAAATTAAGGAAGTTCTTAATTTTGATGAAGTCAAAATTTTTAAGCTGATATCTTTAGGTTGAACCTTCATTACAAATATTTTTATATTTTCTATACACTGATGTTTTCATATACCAACAAGTGAGTTGGAAGACAAAGTATGACTTTGTGCAGATAGTGTGAGCTGATCCATGGGTCTATTGGAAAGGAGCGTGATAGCCCAATACCTTTGTCAGTGTGGGCACACACAAGAGCACTCACAGTCTCAAAGTTGAGCCTCTCAGCTGTCAGCTCAACCACATGTGGCAGTTGAGGCGCTCAGCAATCTCAGTGACAGGCACAAGATGTCCCTGACCGCCAGGGGCGTGCACGCTGACGCGCACACACGCCCGACGTAAAACGTAGCTGAGGCAGATGCGCTGAGCTGCGAATCATGCCTTGTGGACGAATAAATGTTTGTGGAAATGAACAGGTTGCTGTGGAGGACAAGGCCAAAGCCAGCTGAGTGATCTCTTGACATTTTAACTAATCCCTTCTAGCTTGTGGTTTCTTGCACATTTGTGATATTTGCTAGCAGCCAGAATTGGCTTTTTCACATATGCAACCTGTCATGTTGGATTGAACGGTGACATGGTAGAGACCGGGAATGTGATGGCTCTGATGCTGAAGTGGACTGTGATTACATTTAGATGACACCGCTGGCTTGAGGCTAGCACCCTTTCTGTGGCTTGAGAAGTGGATTCTTTAACTGCTCTGATGTCTCACATGTTGGCAAAGTTCTCACCACCAAGCCAGGAGTGTTTCTAAACCTTTGTATGTTACAGTCTGGCTTCCTCTGACAGCCTTTGCTACTGTTTTGAATCTGCTAGCAAACATTAGCTTCCATTGTCTACTGGTTTACAGCGTCTTAGCTGAGGTGTCATCAGTTGTGATAAAACTTTGGACTGACTTTTTGGATTTCCTGTGATTGCTTATTTGTTTATAGCATCTTTGGCAAGCCACAGTGGTGTTGCGTGATGCGTGTGAGGGGACAGGGTGTACCTGCCGCGGCCCCGTGTTTTGTGGCTCTGGGCGAACACACGGTACCTGTCAAAAGCAGTTAGAGCTGTGCTCAGCAGCCTGCCCTGCATGGCATCTCGTCAGACGCCAGCTGAACTTTTCACTTGTCAATTCTGAAAGGTTAGCGCCAAAATCAGCAGCGACAGATGCAAATGGATGGATGCTTTCTTGGCATTTTTGTGCAGGGATGCTTGATGTTGCCTGGCCCATCTTGCCTGCCTCCTCCCACCTCTGTTTTGCTGTTTTTTCCTTTTAGAAAACAGCTGTTGGGGAGGCCAGGTAGTACCTCACAATTTCAGACCTTATATGACCACCTACTGCTCCGTCTCATCTTGCATGTTAATCATTTTGGATAAAACCTTGTTTGCAAACTTCACTGTGTTTAATGTGACTATATATAACAGTTTGTTAGAATCATGACCTGAGGAAATGTAACCCATCAGGCTATGATTTTATCTCACTAGTTCATTTCCTTTCTATATTCTTCTGTTAGGCTATATTCATAAATGGCATGGAAACAATTTCAGTTTTTATGCTGACGATAATCTGCTATATTTATCCTAACTCCTAAATTAAAAACAAATACAAAACAGAAATTCTTGTCTTCAAACTAATCACGGAACCTTGGTGAACCAGGACAAGCTCTGCTATTGTCAAATAGATCAAGTCTCCTTGCAGATAAAAACCCAAATGAGCAAACTCCTTCTTTAAAGAGGTTGTAATTCTGTTTGCTCCCTGCAGATCACTTTGCTCTCACACTAAGGTTTATGAGTTCCTCGAGTTTCTGAAAGAATCTAAAGCTGAACTTCCATTTATCAGTCTACTCTTCTTGTGTAACCAGATCCTGGTTTTGTCTGTGAGGCAGACACATTACTTTTAAAACTGCACTTAAAATTTTCCATTTTAATAAGATGATAAAACCCAGAGAAACAACCATTTCTAGAGATTAGGCTGAGATTACGCTGTTTGGAGGCCAGAATAGCTTGAGCATTTTCCTTCATATTTTCCCTCTTCTTGATGTTAACATTCACAATTATGTTTACTAACTTTATGCAATAAAGAGATTGTTACCAGCCCCATCAGTGTCTCTATGTCTATCTATGTCCTGTCTTTTAAACCGTTATCTTGTCAAACAATGCTTCCTCACCACTGTCATGTTGTTTCTACTCAAGACAAAGGACTGCATCCAAGTAAAGATTTAATGCAATCTGTCACTTTAAAACATACCTCAGAGACCAGTATTTATTAACATTTTATGATGAATCTGACTGGAACTGTATTTGAAGCAGGTCAAACTGGATTCTGTTGATGAATTTACTATGAATGACTAATTTCTAGTGTCCTTACTAAAATTGAATTGGAACTGTAATATTGCTTAATTTCATAATTTATTCAACAGTTATAGTGTACATGCACAATTTCATCATGAAAGTTTTTATTATTTTAGCATATTTAATAATTTTTGTGTCCAGTAAATTACAGATTGTCCAAATAATTACAAGAAAATGAAGGTGAACTACAGATTTATTAGATGCCAGGTGCAATGCTTGAAGCTGCAGCGTGCAACTTTTATAAACAATATGTTTTTTATACATTTGTTAAAACCATCAGCATGTACACGAGAGTATCTGACAGTACTAAGACTTTCCTCCTGGGTCTGATTGGTTTGCGACAGGAAGCGTTGTATTTCTGCACATGGCAGTAGGACCACAGGGAGAAAGGAGAGGAGTTTATTTTTTTCACACAAAAAACTGTCAGGATACAATGACAGATTTAAGAGACATGTAAAAAGCATATTGTTTATAAAAGTTAATGGTGCAGCTTAAATATACAAATGTAAAGTGTTCTCTCTAGAATAGTAAAAAACAAACATCATGTAACAAATGTGCTGTATGTGATTTTTAGGTGGAACTAAAGATGAAATACAATGACCAGCATTGCAAGTCCAGAGGTCTCCTTCCAGGCCATCGCTGGTATGAGATCCAGGCCTACAGAGCCCTAAACCAGGCACTGGGGAGGTAAATGCCTCACTCTGTCCTAAAGATGCTATTTGAACTTCCTTCTGTAATGACATATTTCTATGTTATTTTACAGATGCATCCGGCACAGAAATGACTGGGGTGCCCTGATTCTGGTGGATGACCGATACAAGAATAATCCTAATAAATACATTGCAGGTTTTGAATGTTTCTGATTAACTCAATTTATTTAGTTTCGCATAGCCTTTCAGTTTGAGCACTAGATGGCAATATTTATCCACTGAGCGACTCTTTGAGATGGTTACCTCTGCTGTTTGTCTGTTTGTGCAATGCTAGGTTTGTCTAAATGGGTCCGCCAGCTTGTCCAGCATCACAACACCTTCAGCAATGCTATGCAGTCTCTGGAAGCTTTCACTAAGGTGCAGCAGAATGTGGAGGTGGCCCCTGTGAACAGCCTGGCATTCAGCGTTTCTGATTTGTCTGAAAATAGTCCCTTGTTTGTGTCGGCTCAGAGTTTTAGTGGAGAACCAGAACCTCGGAGAACCAGTTCATTTGACAAACCCTCTTATTCCCAGCAGAACACAATCACACAGCTGAAAACTGAACACCATAACACAGCAGGTGAGGAAACATAACATTTTTGTTTAATGAGGCATTTACACACCCAACATTTGTACCAGGATTACTGCTGTGTTTTTCTATCTTGTATCTTTGAAGTTCCATCATGTCTGATATGACTAAAGTAAGATTTCTTGGCCACTTTTACATAACAAATATAAATAAAGGAACAAATTAACTGAATAACTATCAAGGTATGAAAAGACATTAATGTATGAAAGGAAAGCAATATAAGGATCGGAGAAGAGGATACACAGATTCAATATCAAGATGTGCTGGAGGATTTGTGATGAGATTCACACATTGGTTCATGTTGGGATGTTTAGAGCTGTAAAAGAATTTTAGAATACTTAAGGTACCAAATATAATTTCCAATTTTTCCAAATTCATACTGGAAAAATTGTATTATGAATTTTTTATACTACATATATACCTATATGAGCTCCAGTTTTTTCATACGCTACGGTTTCAGAACAACTTAAAAAAGACCATGTAATTCATACTCTAATGGTTCAGCCTTATCATATTTCTATCTTTATCAGTTTGAGTAAGAGCATACTCCAAACTCCCAGCAACTCTTTAAACGGGTCCAGAATGCTGATCCTGTTCACCACATTAACCTTGTATTGACACTACAGGTTGGCGTGTACAATATTTAAAGTTTAAAGCGGTATATTTGGACAGTACTGTTTGTTTAATTTAGCTAAAAAAAATTTATTCATTCTGGGAACTCAGACTGAAGCAAACTGGTTGGAGCAGGAGCTTCTTTCTTTTTCATTCTTTCCTTCCTTCCTCCCTCCCTCCCTCCCTCCCTCCCTCCCTC